GCCGTAGGTGCAGAATGGCAGCCACGCCTCTGTCAGTCTGCCCCAGGGCAGCTGTGGCTACAATCATAGCTACCACCACTGGAATGAATGTGTGTGAATGAATAATTGACAATGTATGCGCTTGGAGTTACTCCTTGAGTTAGAAAAACTCTATATAAATCAAATCAATTATTTATTTTTTTTGTTTGTTTGTTTTGTTTTGTTCACCCTTTCTCATCATGTAATTGTATTTGTGTGGTTGTTTCATAGTTTTGATATATTATTTTGCGCCATAAAAAATCCCATAGATGTATATAAGTGATCAACTAACATAGGTTTTTTTTATTTTTTTTATAAGTCCAATGCCAATTATTGGTAATCAAGAAAGACTGATGACCAGCATTTTGAACCAATACACATTAAATGAAATGTTTTAACTGCATGTGGTAGCAGAAACCTATCATTCATAACTAGGTTTCTTCATCATTAAGGATGACTAGAACTAAATATGTAAAATAGAAGTAGGAGTGATTAAATAATTTCTTCTATTTATGTGGGATCGACTGAGATTGATCAGTTTGTCTCCTGCAGTTACGTCTGTTGTTTTCTATTTCGTTCATCTTTCACTGTTCTATCACTTTTATTGCCCACCCAGGTCCATATCGTAAAGAATTATTCACGATCATTTTGCAGATTCTGTTTAAAGGTAACTTGTGGCTACCTTCTAATTTAGCCGCTAGCCATTAGCGTAGCTTTAGCTGCTGTGAGAGTTGCTAATTTCCTGGTTTGTGGCAACAGCTTGTGTTTCTTGTTCAGTTTTTGCAGTGTCTGCTTGGGGGACAAACAGATGGAGAGATTTGGAGATGAAGAGGCATTTAATTTATCAAGAATCAGCCAAAAAATATACACATATGGATAATCGGGGAAAAAATGCCAATTTTTAGCCACAGTAATCAACCAGGTGGATAATCAGTCGATCTGTAGTGTAAATAATTAAGTTAATAATAGCTACATTTTATTTGGCTGCTTCAGTTTCACAGTGCTGGTATTGTGCACACTGTCATGGCTTATTAGCTCATTTCAATAGAAAAGAGTCATCATTACTGTTATTAGCAGCAGCTGCTCTCTTCCTGTGCGACAAGTCAAAGTGCCTGCTGGGAAAAGGTCTATAAAAACTTCCTAAAATAGTTGGAAATCACCATCTTAGAAATCATATAATTGTTTCCTCAGCAGTTCTCCTGCTGAGGCAGAAAGCCCTGCAGCACTTAAACATTTTTAGAGAAGCAATGTCTTGTTTCAGACTTTCATCCCGGCTACTGAGGCAGTCTGCATGCCACTGTCACTGTGCTATATTCCCATTTCTGGCCAAAAGTGCGAGTGCTGGCAGTGTCCACTTTCCTTCCTTCCAGCACGAACATAAATGTATGAGCAATGGCTGGAGAGAAAACTGTAAAAGCACTGAAAGACTCTATCCCAAATGGATTTGCTGTGCAGGACACCGCAGCACATAAACTGTAACTGACCAAGCAGGATGTTATTTATAGACAACCACAAGTCCACCGTTCATGTTCCTCAGTGACCATCAGTGCAGGTTGTGCAGTTTGCTTGTAACCAGTGAACATCCATTAAGTGGCAATAATTAACCTTTGCTGAGTTGTTTAAAGTGGATTTTTTTAACCCTCCATTTTCCCTCTTTGCCAGTACTGGTAGATGCTTCAAGGTCTTCACTGGTCTGCCTGGTGCAGACTTCTCCGAGGGCACGAAGGCCATCAGGCAGGATGTACATTAACGTGGACAGACTCTTAGATCAGATTACTGTGACTGAGCTACACTGCCAAAGAGACTAACAAACAGTGTAATAAAAAATAATTAAGTTAGAGCTGGTGCGGTCCACTCTAGTAGCCAAGTGTTATTTAATATCAACCAATATCAATTTATTATGAAGTTATGAACGCAGTCGGGGATCAGCTGATTTATGTTTTGACATAAATCAGTAGCCATCAGAGTGATGAATGACCAGTCACTTCATTTCACAACAAATCCTTTATTAAATGGTAAATCAGTGATTTAAATCATCTTAAGCAAACCCAGGCCTAAATTCATTAATCAAAAATTACAATAACAAACAAAACATAAATACATCAGTGCAGATGAAATGAAGGGGAAAATATTTGGTCCTCTTTTGATTTCTTTACTCTTTTAGCAAATTCATTTCTTTGTGTTTTGTTGAATGGATATCTGGAAAATTCAGTTATTGTTCAAATATGGAATGTTTTTAGATATAAAGCAGTAATAAAAAAACAACAACACATAGTCAGTGGAGGCAACTGCACTGCATGTAGATGAAAATAAATAGCTGTCAAATATACTGTACATCAAATAAATCCATCCATTATCTATACACCGCTTAATCCTCACTAGGGTCGTGGGGGGCTGGAGCCTATCCCAGCTGACTTAGGGTGAAGGCAGGGGACACCCTGGACAGGTCACCAGTCCATCGCAGACAACCAAGCACACTCACATTCACACCTACGGACAATTTAGAATCACCAGTTAACCTCAACATGCTTTTCGAGTGTGTGGGAGGAAGCTGGAGAACCCGGAGAGAACCCACGCTGCACGGGGAGAACATGCAAACTCCACGCAGAAAAATCCCAGTGTCCCCATCGTACGCAAACCAGCGACCTTCTTGCTGTGAGGCAACAGTGCTACCAACTGCGCCACTTTGCAGCCCTCAAATAAATCTCCTGTTGTATTAATTTTTTCTGTACTCCGTCTTTTCACTTTTACTGCTTTCTTTTATTAAAATTATTGCAAAATAGGATGATTTTAGTGTTAGGACCAATCATTCACTATTCACTATGATGGAAAATAAAGATAAAGGAACTACAAAAACTGATAAAATATAGATGGACAAATCTTTGCAAATAACAAATCACATTTCAGATTTAGGCTGACAGCTTATTTGAGCCAAATGATATAACTTGTGTACTTTCTTTCTCTGATCAGCAACTGATTTACAATATGTATTTTGTGCTTATTTTGTTTTTGGCACATACTGTATAATGTACTGGTTGTTTCCTTTTTCTATTCTTCTGCATGCTGTGCTAATGTGTGTTGACATAATGATTTATTCATTTATTTTTTTAATTGATAAAACTACATTTAGGAATAATCATGAGTTTGTTGTGTTTTTATTTTTGAAATCTCACCTGCGCAATTCTCTCTCTCTCTGTCTCTCTCTCTCTCTCTTTTTAAATTATTTTTTTTACTGCTTTCATGTGTAAATAAATTAATTTAAAGTAAGGCTTCATATTAAGCTGGTATGTTTTAGATTTGGGCTGCAAGGTGGGTCGGTGGTTAGTACCGTTGCCTCGCAGCTAGAAGGTCGCCGGTTCATGTCCTGGTGAGGACACCCGGGATCTTTCTGCGTGGTTTGCATGTTCTCCCTGTGCAGCGTGGGTTCTCTCCGGGTTCTCCGGCTTCCTCCCACACAGTCCAAAAACATGTTGAGGTTAATTGGTGATTCTAAATTGGTGTGAATGTGAGTGTGCTTGGTTGTCTCTAAGTGTAGCCCTGTGATAGACTGGTGACCTGTCCAGGGTGTCCCCTGCCTTCACCCTAAGTCAGCTGGGATAGGCTCCAGCCCCCAGCGACCCTCGTGAGGATTAAGTGGTGTATAGAAAATGGATGGATGGATGTTTTAGATTTTTGAACAGAAGAGAAACGCCAACAATATTGTAAAGTGCTGTTAGAATAATGTAAAACTTATTAGAACTTATTAGTCTTCAACTGCCTTACAGTGAGTGATCAATCCAGTGGTGTTGATAATTGTGGATGTCTGAGGCTATGTATAATAAATAGTCACGTGTCAAATTTTTGTTTGTTTGTTTGCATTTTTTAAAACAAAAGTAAGAATATAAAAAAATTGCTCTGGATCCTTATGTATGTCTTAAACACCTCAAAATAATATATGTTGTGCAACAACTTTGAGATATTTTACTTTGAGTAGACCATAATATTTAAATCTAGTCAGGTAAATTTGAATAATACTGTATGTCCTAAGGGGAGTGGTGGAGGTCCAGTGGTTGAGGCTTTGGGCTACTGACTGCTCGGTCTGCTGGGCCTCTGAAGACGGCCTTTAACCCTGTCTGCTCCAGGGAGGCCTTAGTGAGGCTGAAATCTGCACTCTGACCTCAACTTCCTGACAAGCTGGGATATGGGAAAAGAGAACTTCCTCTTCCAGAATCAAAAAAGCAAGTATATATATACAAAACTTGAAATATTTAATCTGGCCAGATAAATGTGTGTTTTTGCAGGATTTAACCTTAATATTTAACCTGGTCAGATAAATTTGCACAGTCAGTGATATGCTAGGGTCCTAACAGTAACATGTAGTTAGTCATGTAAATCTGCATTGTAAGTAAGATTTTTCCTCCTGATACTTAAATGATTGAGGTACATTTGCGTCATTAATAACATTTAGGATTTTAACCATAATATTTAAATTAGCCATGCAAATGTGTGTTATTAATATTACTGTAGAGTTTTAACCTAAATATTTAATTTAAGCAGGTATGTTTGCTTTTTTTGTAGGGTTTTAATCTTGATATTTACTTTAGCCAGGAAAATTTGTGTTTGATAAATTTGCCAAATTATTAATAGTGTGGGCTCTTGGAGTAAATATTTAATTTAGTTTAGCTCATATTGTCATTTTAGATAATGCTGTAGGTTCTTAAGTTTTAATATTTTAAAACCTAAATTGGTAGAGGCCAGTCTTATTTCTCTACTGGGGGTAACTCTGGCTCACTGGTTATTGATCAAAATGTTTTATATAAATGACACTGACAGCTTTTGACTTGCCTTCTGAGGATCCTGCTGTCTGTCTCATCACTGTGTAAAACTGTTCTTAAAGCGTATAAATAAAGTTGTGGTGATGATCTGTTGCTGCCACAGGCTCAAGTTTTCATACTTGATGTGCTGCTGGAGCTTTTGGCTCCGCCTCCTCTCAGAGTTGCTAGAAGCAACAGGAAGACAACCCAAAAAGGGTGCAGGCTGGAAGAAGAAGCAGCAGCAGAGGAGGCCCAAATCATTCCTGCTGACTTAGCCTCTCCCCGGCAGATCCACCGCTGGGCTCCGAGGCTCGGCCCGGTCCAGACCCGCCGCCCCGGACCCGCTTCTTACCGGTTTCTACGTGGCACATTGGGGGGATCATGTCCTCCACTTAGAGACTCGGTACCTGCCGCACAGGAGCAACAGGCGAGGTGAGTACAGGACCGCGGCTACACTGCTTGACTCATGTGTGACACTTTCCCACCGGGGCTTTATGTAATGTGGCACAGATGTGGAAATGGAAGTTGCAAGGCGGTGCTCCGGCTCCTCCGCCGCCGTCCGTCTCTACTTTCCTGCGCGTCCTCCGCCACGTCAGTGAGTCTGGAGGTGAGGAGGGGAAAAAAAAGTGGCCTGTTGTTGTTGCTGCTGCACTTTTTTTTTCTTTCCCTGCCAGTTTTAATTAACAAAGGAGCGCTATGGAGGAGCACCACGTGTCGGGCTCTCCGTGTGTCCCGGCCTGCTCCTCGCTGCCTCCGCCCACCGGCCTGCTCCTCGCTCACACACATGAATGAAGCTCCGGGGCTCAATGTGAGGATCTGGAGGGTCACTGACCTCAGTGTTGTGAGACATCAGTGAAACCTCCAGATGTTGAGCTGAAATCTGCCCTGTTGTGAGCTGCTCTGTTACTAAAAACACTGAAAAGGAAACTGAGAGATGTTTTTAGGGTGACAAGTCATGAACCACATCCTGCAGGACCAGAGGAAGTCACAGACCACAACAAGGCCGCTCATTCATTATGGGGCTGTGTACCAGACTGACAACTAAAAAGTTTCTTTGTAAATCACATTGTTCATTCTTTTCCCTGCTGTTAAATCAAGGCGAGGACACTGCAGGAGTAACAAAATGAGAAACTAAATAGGCTCTCAAAGATGCTGTTTGTTGGGTAAAAAGAAGTAAAAATATTAATATTTTGAATAACTTAAGTTTTTACAAACTAAATGTAATATCTTGAAAATAGTTCTGTCCGGAATCCTACCTTGTGAGTCTTTTTTGATCAATGCAAACCTGATATTTATGCATAAAATTAACTTTATTTCCAAATTTTCATGTTGCTCGTATTAAAACTGCAACAGAAATGTTAGCTAACGCATACAGAAACTTTTACATTGTTTTACAAACACTGATAATTGCCAATTAATTTAGAACTTTTGGGTCCAGGACAAATGTTCTAATTTTACTAAAACTTTATGAAACTAATATTTAAACCTCCTACATAAACATTATGTCATTTTGGGGATGTTTAGCCAACGCTAGCAAACAATTCAAGCTAGCTAGCTAGTGCTACAACAAGCTAATGTAGCATAACATTATTAGTTTAACTAAAAGTCAGTTATTTAGACTATTAAACAGATAATGATAGAAACAATTACAGCTAGTTGATTTTATTTTGCTGCATCACATAATAATGTACACTATTTATTAGAAATCGGACTATAGCAAAGCCAGAGTGTTTGATATCATGGATGTCTATGTTTTTGGTCACATATCACAGTAAAAGTATTTATTTTTTTGTTCAAATTAATAGATAACCCTCCAAGCAACTCTCATTTAATCAGTTAAACATTTTGTATATGTACATTCTTATGAAATGACACAAACCCTTATTTTGTTCTGTCATAATAGGACATCAACATAACTCAAAACTACTACTTTTAATTCTCTCAAACGAGAAAGATTATTTCTTCATCATGAGGGCACAGGCATCTTAATTTATTTTATTTACCTGTTAAAGTTATCTTAAAATTTCACATTTTACAAAAAGAGACTCAAGATTTTGAGCAGTTACCAACAAAACAAATGAGGAACTCACTTCTAGTTAACCAGTGAATGAGTCACATCTAATCAAAGTTTAAGAGCAGTGTCAGACGCAGTTCTTTTGTTGAAACAGATTCAAGAAATGGTCAGAGAAGAATTCAGGTCTCAGATTAAACAGTTTATTCAGGTCACATGGAAAGTTTTGCAGCACTGGATTCAGAGAGACACAGAGTAATCTTATGTCCAGCTGAACTAAGTTTTCCAGGTTCAGGTTCCAAATATCTTCTTGGGCTGGGACTACCCCGAACAGGGATTAGACTTGTACGCTGCCAGGTTTAATTGGCCAGTTACCAATGATGTGGACAGGCATACCTCTTCTGCGCTCTGTCCACGTCCTTGAAATTTGGTAAGCAACATGTGTGGATGTTGTTGGTACGGCGTGTATCTAAAGTAACAATCCTATCTGATAGAATAGAGGAGTTTCCGCTGTCACCTGGTGTGTGAACCAGTTCTCACCGGCCAGAAAATGAGTTGCTATTTTGGTGCACCCCTAGTAATAATACATATTAAGTAGTTAGTGGGGCTGCAACTATTGATTACTTTCATGATTGATTAATCTGTTGATTATTTAGTCCAGGATGACAAATGTGTTCTCTCCCACCCACCCACTCAAAGATGTTTTGTTTGCTCTCATAGAAGAGAAGAGAAACAGGGAATTATTAAAATTTAATCAGCTGGAATCAGAGGACTTTCTTTTTACTTAAAAAAATACTAAAATCAATTGTCAATTATCATAATAGCTGGCTATTAATTTAATAGTTAACAACTAATTGATTAATTGTTGCAGCTTTCACAGTTTCTAAGGAGTCTGTCATTATTTCATCATTTATTACCTTTTTTGTCTCCCCTTTAGTAAACAGCTGAACCACACTGGGCTGTTTCTAAGTGATGAATCATTACTTCGTCGTTACCTGTCCATTAGCAGCCCTCTGTGTGTGGAGAAGTGACCCTTATAGATACTAGAAGTTGTGTTTAAGTTAGAAGGTGAACACTGGCTTGAAAATGTAGAATTCTAAAATATCATTGATGTTATCGACTTCAATCATTCATTTTTAGTTTTAGCGTCAGCTGGGACATTCGTCCTCTTAACAAGGCCTCTTTCTCTTTCTTCAAGTATTTCATTTCTCAGACTTCGTGGCCCCTTTCTGACTCTTCTGACTCCCACAGCTGTTGTCACATCGTCTGCCTCCAGAGGAAAGTTGCACAACGGCAGTTAGTGGTGGAAGATAGAGGCTTAAATCAGCTGCAGCTTCCAACATATGGAAAATGTGTGTAATAAATGGTCAGTGCAGAGGGAAAGAGCAGTGCTGCCCCGTTATATTACTACCGCACAGCTTGTAAAAGAGCTTTTTAAGTGAATGTTATGACACTGTTAACATACAGTACATAAAGCATATGGATCCAATATTTTTCTATATAGAGACTGTGTGATCTAAACTGCAGTAGTTAGCTGGTTGATGAATTAAGTAAAATTAGAGGGTTTTTTTTTAAACGTTTGAGGCGTAACAAGCTCAAAGTCTGCTCAGGTTGAAAATAAAAGCTCCTTCAAATAGGTTTTATTGGTGGTATTTTTGTTAGTGTTTTCTCTGCATTACTTTGCTGAAGCCTGTTTTGGGACTTTGCAGCAGGAAGAGTGTTATTTACAGTCTTTTCCTCGGTTCAGCTGCAACTGAGCAATGTTAGACGGATTTTGTATTGCTCGATTGTCTTGCAGATACGCAGGAATGCAGGAAGATTCTTGTCTGCAGACAGTGTGACTCAACTGTCTTTGCATAAGAGGGAGAAATGCGGTACGTTAATGCAACAGCTCTTCCTCTTATTAACAGCAGTTTATATTGACCACTTCAGTAATTGCGGTTTGGCAGCGTTTGTGGATATTCAAACCCTCTGCTTTAACTAGTTAAAGCTTTGTGTTAATTACGGTCATGTTGACCTTCACTGGTATGAGATCACATATTTCACAATTGATTGCTGCTTCATTAAATACTTGTGTCAGATTTGGAAGTTTACCTTCATAAAAGTTGGAAATATTTGTGATATTTTTCACTAAATTATCTAAATCTTGATGATAATCTGAAGACAGCTTAATATTGTTCCATTCAACTGCATTTATCCAGTTTCTTCTTCAGGCTCATATTACAATCTCGCAGTGCAAACATTCTGTCTCATTCTGTCGACCAAATATTTGACAGCCATTTAGAGTGTCAGGTTTTGGAGTATCTAACTTGAAAAAAAAAAAAGGCAGCACAATTACACAAGAGAATAAATTCCTTGTTCAAGTGTTAGGCTTTTAACGGATTGTGTTTCTGCTCTTTTGTTGCTCTACTTTACTCGCTCACAATCAGAGCTCCAGACCTACAGTGTCCCTTTCACACTCTTTTCTGCCTCAGATATGCTTGTTACACTTGTCGGTTTAAAGCAATCTACTCGAGGCTCCATCAGCTTTGTTCTCATTTGTTTTAAATCAACTTAAAATAAATTCATGATGTGTAGTGAAACAAATGGCAATTTATAATCCAACATCCCCCTTTTTTATTTTAAAAGGACTGAAAATGATCTGCTGAAGCATTTATTCTACCAAGTGCTAGTAAGTTCACCCTCTTGTTGGGGCCCTGATATAGAATGCAATATGCAGTTTTAAAGTCTCTTTTCCAGACAGTGATGGAACCTCCACGAAAACAATCCCTCTTTGCTTTGAATTGTAGCTCTACACCATTGCTTTCCCGAGAATGTGCAGATCTGTGCCTCTATCTTTATCTACCTCTCTCTACTTTCTGCAACTCGAGCACACCAGCTCACCCACAAGTCTGCTCAAACACTGTAGGACTACTCTTTTGACAGTATTGGTTCCTTAGGTGTGTCATCTGTCTATATCTGCAAAAAAAACCCTGCGATGTTCACAAGCTAAAAAACTGTATTTTCACTTTAGGAAGTCTTTAAAAGTATGAATTTGATATCTTTAACAGAAAAGACATGATCCAGACAGTGACAGAGCTTTAAAATGTTAGAGTAGTCATTAGATAAACACTGTTGAAATGAAGTGATATTGATGTTGGAACATTGCAGGATTTGTTCGAGCCGTTTCAGGCTGCAGATGATTGGGGAAATTGGACTGTAATAGATAAGTCTTCCTTCCACACCGACACATCGTTCCCTGAGCTGGGAGTCCGTGATTTGCAACAGCAGCACATCGCTCGTGGCCTCAACAAGATCAACACTTTCTCGAAATAAAAGACTGCAAATGAGGCACGGTGGGTTTTGTCGATTGTGGGGATCTGTGCTCATTAATGACACTTTGAGGGCAGTTGGAGCAGGAGGAGGCTTCGTGAAACGGAGCCAGTGAACGGGTGAGCTAGAAATGCGAGAGCAGCACCTGCAGGGATACCAGGTATGAAAGCGGCAGGCGTTAATGTTGAGTAGGTGGAAGGGCCGCGGATGGATGAAAGTAGGTTAGGGGATGGGCTGAGCGGAGGAAGTGCACCAAACAGGTTTGACAGATTAAAGGCTGAGATTGAACAAAGGAAAGGAAGGAGTGGGATGATGTTCTCACTGGTTCTGTGCCTGCTTCCTGGCAAGAGACCGAGGGGACGGAGTTAAGTTGGGAGCAACGAGACAGAGAGCTGTTGAAGGTGCTTCCTGTGCTGCACAGTGGTGGCCAAAAGTCCCACGTCGAGTGTGTTTACTTTAAAGTGGCGCCACATTCAGTGACTTCTGTCAGGAGATCAGGTACTTTGTCCTGCCGCTTGTGGGTTCTAAAACTTTTGGTGTATTATTTTCTGTTTTTCTTTTATTTGACAGTTGATGGTGAAGAGGCAGTCAGGACACGTGGGGGTGAGAAGGGGAGTGTGACGTGCACCACAGATTCCTGACTGGAATCAAAGCAGGGATGTTGCAATTGTGTGTCCTGCGCTGTAGCCGTCCAGCTGTCGAGGTGCTTCAATTTTCATGAACGTTGAAGAGCACTGAAACATTCCTCTTTGGATCTGACTAAAAAATGTGTCACTTATTTCAGCACTTTGCACCCAAAGTACCTGGAGAGCTCCTCCACTGTAGCAGAGGCCCGCACGGCTAGACGTAAAATGTTACGCACTTAGCTCCAAGCATAGTTGACCTGCTGCCAGAGTGGTTGAAATAAAGTGATGAAATTCACGGAGAAGGTGAAAAGTCACTTCTGTGATGTGTTGCAGCTGCAGGAATTGGTGTTGTTATGTTAATGGTGGGTCAAATGATGCTATGTAATGTAGAATGGGTTGCCTAGAGTAACAAACGCAGGTAATTATCAGTCCACAATGTAGATTATTTCAGCTTTATGGAATGTTTTTAGCATCTTTTAGTTGAATGTTGTGTTGTGTGGCCTAAAAGTGTTTTGATTCCCTCTTATCAGAATCCTGCTGCAGTAGGAAGCTGTTTTTAGAGAAAGAATGTTTAAGATTTAAGGAAGTCTGACAATGTTTTAATGTGTGGTTTGTAGTGTTTATAGCAACTTGATTATATCAGATAGATAGATAGATAGATAGATAGATAATTGTCATATGGGCAACAAAAAATTAACACTGCAATGGAATTGTCTAGTTTGCACACTCCCATATACATAATAAAGAATATCAATATAAAAACACCAATAATATAAATAGATAGGAGAAAAAAAAGAGACAGAAAGTAAGGTGAATATTGATTATTTACATGTAGCAGCATCAGTGAGGTGATGTAGCAGCAAATATACATTTAAAGTGCACTTACCTCCGTGATGACTGTTTTCTAGGAACCTCTGAGCCCCAAAACCCACCGGTGGGTTTGAAAGGCATGTTGTCTTTTTTTAAAAATCACCAAAATGAAACAATTTATCAGACAGAAAAACAGAAAGAATCATTGGATTTTTGACTTTAAGTGTGATGTGTGGTTCTCATCCACGCTTCAAATTGTCATATTTCAACAAAATCTGCTTTGCTTCATTTAAAAGTTTGCAAAAAATAAACTGTTTGCTCTCAACAGAAAACAAAAAACTAAAAAAAAAAAAAATTGCACTCTCTGTTGCAACCAGAAACCCACTAGTGACTCAGCTGCAACCAACAGTCTCGTGACAAAAATTCAGGGACTTTGTGTTTGGACTGCAGACTGTGTTTACACACAGCAGAGAGGAGACACAAAATAAAAATGTAAGTAGCTGAATATCTATAGTATGTACTGGTAGCATTTTATTCCTGTATTGTTAACACCTGTGGGTGCTTGGAAAGACAAGTTGATTCCACGTTTTTCCCTATTTTTGAGAACGATATGAAACTTAAGTTCTCTTTTTTTGATGGGCAGAAATTGCTCAGGTTGCAGACGGTTACAGAGAGCAGTAGCAGCGCAAAAAACTAGAATATCAGTGAGCTGGAGGCTTTTGCGCACGAAAAATGGGCTAAAAATTCTAAAAGAGAGGCGTCGGAAGCTTGTGAGAAACTACAAACAACCAGAGGCATTTGGTGAAGGTCTTAAAGGTCACTATATTGACTTTGGGGGGGTTGAACCTTTTTGCTTAGAGAATTCCTGGAATGACAAGTGTTTGCTTACATGCCGAGATTGTTTGCCTCAAAAAAATAAAAGCTTTGCTGAAGTTAAAAGAGTAAAACAAACTGCAGGTGAAATTAGACACACATTTCAAGGAATTTAGAGCGCTCATGAAAACACGAGAGGAATCGCTTTGATTTATAGAGATCATGAAGTCCTGACATCAAAGTGTCTTCTGTCGACGCTTGAAAGTTATTTCTTTGACAGACTGTTGGCGGTGTGCCTGAAAATAGATTTTGTACCCACTCAGAAATGGATATTCAAGCACAAGAGCTGTTAAGGAGCATCCGTTTGTGGATGTGTAAGATTTCTAGGGGAATGGCAATGTGCTGTGTGTTATGGTACGCCGGAGGACTTTTCTGCTGATCATCAGCGTCTCACAGCCAGAGTTCATAAAGAGTTCATTAAGCTGCGTAACTATTGCAAGATGTGTTTTGATAATTAACATTTTTATCCTTTGTAACTAGAGATGCACGATATACGTGTTTTTTTCAATGTATCGGTATCGGTCCAATGACCAAATTTAGCCGATGTCAAAAACCGATGGTTGTGGGGCGCCGCTATAGCTCACCTGGTTGAGCTGGCGTCCTATGTGCAGGGCTACAGTCCCGATGTGGAGGTCATGAGTTCGAATCCCGCTCATGACCCTTTCCCACATGTCCTCCCCTCATTCTTCTCCCCCACTTTCCTGTCTCTCTCTGACTACACTATCCAATAAAGGCACAAAGGCCAAAAAAATAGCTTAAAAAAAAACAAAAAAACAAAAAAAAACAATGGTTGTGTTATAATTGGCTGTGTTTCGAATCTATGATAATGTTTTGCACTTTTCTCCTGAGCCAATGCATGTCCTTGAAGATAACATGACCAGTGAGAACTGGTTCACATACTGGGAGACAGCGGAAACTCCTCTATTCTATCAGTTACTGTAAATACACGCCTTTTGGACAACACACACACACACTTTGTATTCAATCCAAGCAGTTTCTGTTTACATTTCAGTGAACTTCCGCATGAACAGTGGTTAGTCTGTTCACGTCACAGTAACTGGCCAATTAACCTTGATTGCGTACAAGGCCAACCTCTGTTCGGGGCAGTCCAAGACCAAGAAGATAAATGTGAATAATTTCCGGATATCGGGGCTCCTTCTGATGGAGCTCTCATGAGAGGTCTGTCACTCTGAGCCCAGCGTTGCCTCACTTTACCTGTGACCTCAATAAATTCTACATCTGTGAACTGAAGATTTCTCCGGTTTGTACTTGGGCTTCCAACTAAAGAATCGGGATAACAATTGTCTAACATTAGCGCCTTCGTCTCTACATGTGATATTGCTTCTATTTCACAGATGTTTTTACTTAAATGGTCCTGGATTTGAACGTTAAATATGTTAAAATATGTTTCACTTTTGTTCCATAGTAAAGAAGACTGTTGTCTAATTTGGGCTTCTTTTCATTAGTTTTCATGTTCTCGCAGTGCTTACTTATACTCATTTTTTGACGTGAACAAATATTGAATTTCGACGTCAGTAATATTGATTATCGGCAATATCAGAAATCTTTATATCGGATATTAGTATCAGCCGGAAATGTAAATATCATGCATCACTATATGTAACACAAGCATCTAATTTGTGTCTTCTACTTTGTCTCTCAGTCTGTTTGAACCTGGCCATGGCCCACGGCACCAGCATCCAGTATGAGCCGGTGGCAGAAATCGGCGGAGGTGCTTATGGGACTGTTTATAAGGCTCGGGACACGGAGAGCGGCCAGTTTGTGGCTCTGAAGAGCGTGCGTGTCCAAACGGACCAAAACGGCCTCCCGATCTCCACAGTCAGAGAGGTGGCTCTGTTGAGACGGTTAGAGCAATTCGACCACCCTAACGTGGTCCGGTAAGTGTTGTAATTTCAACTCATGTTGTCTATAAACCGCTGTCAACACCTCTCACAGGAATCCTGTTTCTCTTGTTCCTACCAGGCTTATGGACGTATGTGCCACGCAGAGGTCAGACCAGGAGACTAAAGTCACTCTGGTGTTTGAGCACGTGGACCAAGACCTCAAGACATATCTAGAGAGAGCTCCAGCTCCAGGATTATCCCCCGACCGCATTAAAGTGAGAACTGACTGAAGCATCATCCAAACTAAACCACACTGAATTTGTTCAATAAGTGAGATGGCAGAATCCTTATGGAAAGGATGGAGTGTTTTTGTTGTGCAACTGTTTCAAAGCCAAAACTGTCCAAATCTTTAGTTTCAGTGAAGATGCCTGTTCTTTTTTTTTTTGCAGGACTTGATGAAGCAGTTGCTGTGCGGCCTTGCGTTCCTTCACTCAAACCGTGTGATGCACAGAGACCTGAAACCAGAGAATATTCTGGTAACCAGCCAAGGCCAGGTGAAGCTGGCTGACTTCGGTCTCGCCAGGATCTACAGCTGCCACATGGCCCTCACTCCTGTGGTAGGAACCGTGAACTGTCTTTTCCAAAGCACACTGTAATGTTTTTTTTAGGACAATTTTAAAATTATTAGATTTTCAATCATTCAGTCTGGTTTGTATTCATTTCAGTTTCAAATTAAAATCTACTTTTATCCACTTGGAAATTTGTTTAAGACAATCTGTAGATATTATGTATATGACTTGGATGAGACGACAAGTTATTACTCTCACTTAAATCTAATATAAGTACAAACAGTTAGCCTGAATCAGTCTATGGATAACAATATTTTATACATCTCAACTTCACAAATTAACACATTATACCTCATTTGTATATAAAAAACTATAGCATAAGTCATCGTGTTTCTTAGCTGGTTGACAAGAAGTACTAATACTACATAATTCCCTGTAGACCTTCAACATGTCACTTTTACATTACTCTTTAAATAGACAAGATTTAAAGTGTTAGTGAGCTTCAGATGCACTGTTTGGAAGGCTTTTTATCTGTGTTGAGTTGTTTTTAGTTTTCGTATGAAGCATTGTTATCGAAATGTTAAAGTTGCCCCTGATGAACAAGTCTGGCAGAAATGATTTTAGAAGCTAATTTTGTTTTCGATTTCCCAAGCTCAAACCAAACAGCCTTTAGGCGTATTTAGATATCTCGACAATCAATCAGAGCGTCAAAACATGTGACGAAACACTAGGTACAAATCGACGTAAACAGGTTTTAAGTGCCAGACTGTATGTTCCTTTAAAGAGTATACATCATCCAGTCCTTTAAATACTGACAGCAGATTCAAATTCCACATCAGCTACAGCCATCTTGGCTGCTCACGAAAGTGTCTCAGCGGCGCGTCTCTGCACAATCATCCTGTCAAACTTGCTGCAGGTTAAATAAATGGTTGCTCTGCACAGTAAAAGCAGTGTGGAAGACCCAAGGGGTCAAACGTATTCTGACAAAGAAAATGTAACTGGAGTTCTCAGATTTGTTTGTTTCACAGGATAACTCTAAATAAAAGACACTACTAACTTCACTATAGCTTTATGAATGAAATGAAATGAAAAATACTTTATTTATCCCAGAAGGGAAGTTATTTTATTTATGATAAAGTTCATGTCATCTTATTGTTTTATGAGTTTAATTTCCACCCAACACAGAGTGGATGGGATGTTTTTTCAGTACTTGAAATATTTTGCATCAAGCCTCTTTGAAAATATATGTAAGAAACAGTTTTAAAAAGAATGAGAGTTGATAGTCACACTGGCAGCTCTGAGAGGCAGTGCTTCAGCTACAGTGGCAGTGCTAACATGTTGATGTTGAATTCTCAGTCTGTCAAATAATTTGATCTTAGTAACATTTAGGGATTCCATGTTTGTGTTTTCCAGGTGGTCACACTGTGGTACCGACCTCCTGAAGTTCTGCTGCAGTCCAGTTATGCCACGCCGGTGGATATCTGGAGCACCGGCTGCATCTTTGCTGAGATGTTCAGGCGCAAGTGAGTCAGAAGAATAATGGTCACTATCCAGGATATTAATGAATATGTTATAAAAAATAATAATATATATCTAGCAGAGCTATCATCATCATGAAATTTTAGTTGATGATTGATAGGGAAAAAACTATGATAAACGGTTTCATTTCTTTTGGTAATTGTATGCTTTTATTAGTTTTAGATTAATGGTATTGGTGCCTTTGAATGCAACCTTTTTGCTGCAAATCTGACAAATCGCCTCCTCCAAGTTATTGGGCTCTTCTTTTTCATTTGGCTTGAAACCAAAATGTGCCAACAGCAGTGCTGTAGTGTTTCACTTTGCAACTAAATCCATGACATTATTGTCAGTAGATGCTCGCTAAAATGAAGTTGGTTGAATATTAGCAGTTAGGCTCCTCAAGATAAGCAATGGGTGCCTTTAAACCAAAGCAGAAGAAAAAAAGGTGCAAACAGGGGTGAACGATGTGAAAGTGGTGATTCAAATATGAGTGTGTTAGTTCACCTGTAAATGGTAACAATTCCAACAGTTATGCAAAATGGTGGCAGTCACCTGAAATACCTGCGACCAGACGATTCTGTAATAACTGTGACAGGCTTCTATCCAGTAAGTCTTTATATGTAAATCCAGTTTAAGGAATTACATTTGCCCCTTAAGAAAGGTAACAAACTGATTTTGATGTAATTCACTGAAAAGTGGACTCATTAAGGTAAAAAGTATCAGAGATTTGCTCACATATCCTGTGCAAAGCAGCAGTTTGTATTTCCAAAGTGAGTTCTAGTTTCTCATTTAACTCCTCAGGCCAGCTTAGAATGTGAAACTCTTGAGTTTGAAATCGTTTTGCACACACATCAGCTCCAGATACTTTCTGGAGAGAGCCAATGCTTGGATAATTATTTTTTTTTTCCTTCAATCCAGAAAGCATGACATCCTTTTACTGCGTATAAATCATTGGGAGGGAACGTAGAGCGCACAGAGCACAGAGCCAGGACTCACGTCCAGCTTTTTGTTTGCTGTTCGGTTTAAGTTACCAAAATGCTTGGCTAAGATTAGGCTGAGATAAATATTGACAAAGACATGTCCCATCTTGTGCTTCAAGTTAGTTTTTTTTTTTTTTTTTTTCACATTTAGCCACGATGTCAATCTTTCCCTCATCCTAATCAAGTGCTTTGAGATGCTTTAGCTTAATGAAAACATTAGTGAGGCTGAAGTTACCAGGGCTGGATGTTTTAGGGACAATCAAAAGAAACATTGAACACTTGTTATATTTAAAGAAAACATAGTCTGTGCAGCACTACTGTGCAGTTCACAGCTTGCACTTTAATAGTCACCAGAACGCTGACTCTGTTGGCTGTTTTTTGACATCAGCTACTTGTCTTGGCAGAGGGAGATACACTCCACCTTTAGACTCACCTCTTATCGCTTGTAAGAGGTTCACTCTTTACTGAGTGATATACGTGTTCAGATTTTATCTCAGATTTTGTGTCCGAGTCAAAGCAGAGCCGATGAGTAGCGGTTCAGATTGAATCACATTGGCAGGTCATCTGTGTTATCTGGTCCGGAGCCTCAGACTGTCAAGGGGTGAACTGTTGGGAGGGGAAAAAAAAGAGGCTTTTGCCACAGACATCAAGTCACGGCACACACAAATATCTAGTTTCAGTCTCGCCCATCCTCCAGCCGAGTCTGTAGGCACAAGTTTTGGATGCCATCATTGTAAAACATGACCTGGATATAAATGAGATGTTATTAATTATCACTGAAATTTGATGGTACTTTTACATCATAACGACACAGATGGGAGTCCTCAGCATCATGTACGTTTGTGGGAACTTACTGACAGCTCACAGGCTGATTCAACACAACCAAACATTACAAACAAGCAAAAGTCATAACCAGTGAATTTAGATGCAATATTAAGCGTTTTGAGCTGCCTGAGGTGATGACTGCTTTAACTTTCTTCCAGATCAGCTGAAAAACTGCAGTTTAGCTCGATGAAGCACACAGTAGCTCTATCTAGTGGTAAAAATGACACATTGCATGAAACCGGCCGCCAACATGCTTTGATATAACAGTAATTTGAAGATGGAGAGGATGTAATGATGTACTGGTATATTGTCATAACTCATGGCATCAGGAGTATTATTAAACACGCTCTATGTTGGTTAACATGACTGAGATGCTGCAGAGTTTTATAAACGCTTGAATCATTCATGCTCAATGCTCCTCATGCCAAACTACTAATCTTTGCCTGAAGGCCATCATGTTGCTAACAGAAATAACAGCCTTTTGAAGAAAGCACCACCAGCCTGCAGCTTCAGCCTGTTAACTGAGATTAACCTTTCTGTTCTTTAGACCTTTGTTCTGTGGAGAATCAGAAATGGACCAGCTTGGGAAAATTTTTGAGTGAGTAGCGAATATTTTCCATCACATTTAACAGCCTAGGAGCCCCCTTGGCTGATTTATTCATGTAATTCCTACTTCATTGAAAATAACATGTCATTTCAGAGTTATTGGTTTGCCGCCAGAGGAGGAGTGGCCGACTGATGTTACGCTATCAAGGAAAAACTTCCCCCCTCTCACGGCTCGCCCAATCAAGGACTTTGTTCCAGAGATAAATGAGCAGGGGGCTCAGCTATTGCTGGTAAGGCTCATGAATTAAATATTAAAGTGGCTGTCCATCTTGCCTGGTGCTCAATTCATGTCTGAGCTGCATACAGAGTTAAAATTGGGACATTGACAGATCGGCAACCTCAGACTCCAGAAGAAGTAACACAAGCCTCAAGAATTCCACTGCGGCAATACAGAAGAATTCTTGTGACTCGTCTGGTTACACCAGAGGAGGAAGGAGGACTCTTCACAGAAAAGTGTTCTGTCCTTGTACTTTTACAGAGGCCTGCTAGAACTGGAAAAAAAGACTTAAAATCTGTTTCTTAATGGATTGTTTATAAAAGGACATGTCCAGTACATGTCGCTTTTCTGTGATTGAACCTGAGATTTAACCGTTTCTTTTAGTGCAGACTGCATTATTTTATTCTGTCCGTCCACATGATGTAGAAAATGTTGGTGGTCTTTACATCTCAAATCATCAAATGGTTAGAAAGACTCATGTTTGACCATCTCTGACTTTTCTGAAATTCGTATTGTATCAAATATTGATATCTAAAAGGATATTTGGGGAATATATCAAAAACTCTTGGAGATATTTTTTATTCATTTATTTTTTTTAATTGCCGGTGAACTCACTTTCAGTTTTTTTTTTTTTTTTTTCACAAATTAAAATTTAAAGCTATGTTTGAACAACCATATGCTTTTAAAGATAAAAACCTGAGATTCTCACTGTTCTTTCTCATCATGTCCTTGAGTCAGAATCTGCAAAACTGGACAAACAGTGTCTTGTCATGAAAAGTCCCAGCTTTGATCACACATTAACAACAAACCTGATAACACAGCAGTCACCTAGTGGTATTTTGTGGACGGTATGTAGTTGTATGTTGCAACACTACAAAACAAAACACATAGAATACTTTTAATAGATGCTGTTAGAAGTTACAAAATGTCACAGAAATGGAAATGTTATTTTCATTTAACTTTTATTATAGATTGAGCTAAAGAAACAAAAAATATCGCTAGGTATCCTAATTGAAGTACAACAAAGTTCTATTTTGCAGATTCTAACGGTGAGAAATAACGTTTCAGGCTTTTATCTTTATTAGTTCCTGACATATTGTCGTTCAAATGTAGACTCAAGTTTCAATGTGCAAAAAAACAAGCTTTGTAGTTCTTACAAAGTATTTGATACATCGGTCTTAAGTTTCACAGAAACCATTTTAAATATCTGTAGTTGTTGATAAAAAAAATTTAGAAAAAGGTTTCAAGCAAATCAGAGATGGTTGAGCAGAAGTACGCTGATGATTTGAGATGGAATAACTGGTGTAGAATAATAGAAGCACAATATTGGACAAGAGTTTATTGAATTAACTAAAAATAAATCTTGATGACAAAGGAAGCTTTATAACGATCCTTTGCACTTTGTTGTTTTTATATTTTTCAACCAGTCACAACCTCGAGTTTCCACTGGTTGCCTGGCAACTGGTCCAGGCCATCATTTGGCACAAACTGCTGTTTTTATTTCTCGGTTTTTGCATGAATTAAAACAAACAAGATACAATGTGTTGATTAAAGAGCTTTGGAGATGTAGGTAACTTTTGTTACCTTGCACATAGACAGGCTAGCAGTTTTCCCCTTTTGCTTCCAGTCTTGATGCTAGGCTAAGCAAACTGGTTGCCCCAGTTACATATTCACTGAACTGTAATCCTCTCATTTAACTCAAGAAAATCTAAATGTCAGACTACGCCTTTACGGTGCCATAGCTCTAACACCGTGTTGTTCTTTCCTCCACAGAAAATGCTGACATTCGACCCCTTAAAGCGAATATCCTCCCTGAATGCACTAGAACATCCTTACTTCTGTGACGAGGAGACATCGACTCAGACAAAAAGCTGAAATGAGGCAGTGAAACATGCGGCGAGAGGTAAACGGTGTCTAAGTGTAGGGTTTCAGTGTCATTCACTGCATTGCCATTCAAGATGTTTGGGTCATGCTTTTGGAATATTATTTTGTTATTCCTGCGTCTAAAAAAAGGATTAAAGCCCAAGAAAGGGAGGCGTGAACTTAAAGATCACTGGCTTGCTTTTCAACGTGTAAATGTCACAATTATTGATGTTAACGTGTCACGTTTTAAAGGACAGTACCAGTGTTTTTGATTTTCTGCATCAGTGTCGTCAGCCAGCACAGATGTACAGAAAGTTCTGTCATCTCTTCTGAAATGTTGCTCTTGTTGTTTTGTGTCTGTCAGACGTGACTCCTCAGTGGGTTAGAACAGCCAGTCGTTAGTGAGTTTACTGTATTTGTTTTAGTATTTATCATACAAAACGAACAATAATACCGTAAGCCTGTGAAAGGCATTACGCTGTATGAAAATGATTCATGAAATCCTGAAGAAAAGGAAGACTAGTTGCAAGTAGTTTAAGAAAAACGCACAACGAAGACACGTTACAAAAATACTGGTATTGCCCTGAAACTATCTCACAAAGCAAAAGTATTTTTTCTTCTTTTATTGGAGGACTGAAAGGGTGGACTTCATTTCATTTTTGTTCCGTTGCTGAATCCATCTAAAATCAACCATCACTGCATCTCCAAGTGAATAAAAACTGTTTCAATCACTTCCAGGCTTAATTTGTGTTTATTCAGATGACAGTCCTTACAAGATGGCTAAACGTGAATGATGAATGAAAACTGAAATGGACTGAGATCCATCCATTATCTCTACACCGCTTAATCCTCACTAGGGTCGCGGGGGGGCTGGAGCCTATCCCAGCTGACTTAGGGTGAAGACAGGGGACACCCTGGACAGGTCACCAGTCTATAACAGGGCTACACTTAGAGACAGACAACTAAGCACACTCACATTCACACCTACGGACAATTTAGAATCACCAGTTAACCTCAACATATTTTTGGACTGTGTGGGAGGAAGCCGGAGAACCCGGAGAGAACCCACGCTGCACGGGGAGAACATGCAAACTCCGTGCAGAAAGAACCCAGTGCCCCCACTGGGACTCGAACCGGCGACCTTCTTGCTCTTATTTATGTATATATAAATATGCACACATGTATAAAATACTACCAATTTAAAAAATTACAAAATAAAAAAGGTAGGTAGCCTGGCAATACAATTTTTGGTCCTCGAAGAAGGAACAAATAAACAGTTTAAGTGTCCCCCAAATGAAAATGAAGTTGTTTTTCTTTACCTTGGTAACGTGTCCATGTGATTTTTGTTTATATGCTGGAAGAAACATCTTTAGCAAAATAAGCTGGCGTCTTCAAACTGCAGAGTGCTGATGACAGTCTCAAAAATACAGATGCAGGTTTGTGTGGTTTCATATGTAACGAAGCCAAGGAACCAATGGAGCGGGGCACTGAGTGCTATTTCGCTTCAGAATCTGATTTTTGGTTCAAATGTGTGACTAAATTACTCCAATATTAAAATGTACCGTATGTATAGCGTTGAGTAGTTTTACAGTGTTGGAGCAGAGTTATAAGTGAGCTGGTGTGCTCAAGCTGCAGCAAGTAGGCGTTGGCAAAAACTAACTTTTCTCAGTCCCTGCATTGGTTTTCACAGCTTTATACTTCCAATTATGAGTTAACTACAGTTGATCTGGATAATCAGTGGAGTCCCATTTCAATTATTTGAACTTTTAATTGTAAATGAACAAACCGATGAATTAATGATTCCTCACCATATAGGACTTTCATGCTAAACTGCAAACATTCATGAACTTTCCAGCAAACATTTCTCAGCAACTTGAGACCTGAGCAATTAAAAGTAATATTTCAGCTTTTTGGAAAAATATGCTTTCTGCTTTCATATCAAGATTTAGGTTTAAAAGACTGATTCCATTCTGGTGTCTGTAAGTAAATATGAAGATGCTCCAGCAGCTGGTTAGCTAAGCTCGCCCAAAGGTAACAAAATCCACCTACCATCTCCTCTAAACCTAATTAAGTCACCAACACTCCCCCAGCCCAAATTCAGATCAAATGAAAATTCTGCTGCTGTATTTTGAATGGCATCGGCTTCATTCTGAATCATTGTTCTGAATCACCATTTGAAAACGCAAAGCCTCATTCAAACAGTGTAAACCGTTTTCAGATGCCAATGTTGCAGCAGCTATGATTCCTTGTTTGGTAATAAGAGTGCATACAGAGCAAAATGGTAGTTTTTCTTATCTTTTGTGTAATCCATAGAGGCATAATAGTTCAATCTGTGTTTTACTGTGAGAGTCCAATGAACAAAATGCTGCCATGCTTTAAGTGTTTTTTTTTTGTAAAAATGGGCTGAATATTTAGAGGTAAACATGTATCTCACTTATGCATCTGTACAAATGACAAGTTGTAGTTTGTGGGCCTTTATTCAGTATTGATCACAACACAGTTTATAGGTTTTATATTTGTTTGTGTGGGTTAAATAACTAAACACAAGTTTCAACATGTTAACAGATGATTTTAGACTGATTTCAGTTTTGCAATTGAGCTTCTCATCTGATTCTCAAAGAAAATAAATAAAATTGGGCTTTGCTTGTTTTCATAATAAACAGTTTGCCACGGTGGCTATATTTCATTAAAATTAAAAATAAAGAAAATGTTTGAAGTTGATATAAAGGGGAAAAAGGTGTCTCCAATCTATCAAACATTGGAATCTGTGTGTTATATAAAATATTCATTTGCTTGTTTTTCCACATTTCAAAGTTGATGTTTGCAACTATTTCTGTAATTTGATTCCTCATAGGTTGTAATTACTGAGTTTTGGTTGTCTTGGAAGACTCAAGTTTTAACTAAGATTTAAAAAAACAAAACAAAACCTGATTAACTTGATTTCTAAATCAGCTTTCAGACAGATTCCTGATGACTGTATGCACATAGATATCCTTCTTTTGCATTGTTTATCTCCAAAGTAATCTTTTTTTTTTTTTACCTTCCATCTCTTCTATATTCTTCTTCCGTCCTGCATCTAATTACCCAAACCCCTTAGTCTCATCAGCATCTGCAGTTTTCTATCAGATTTCTCCTGCAGTTCAACAAGATTCCCCCTCATCCAGCCTCCCTCCCTAAACATTCCTTCTGTTTAAAAAAAAAAAAAAAGCCTGGTCTTTCTCCTATTTTATTTTTTCCTTTTCCAGCAATTATCCAGTCTCATCCATCCCGTGCATCCCTTTTACTTTCTCACCCAGAGGGGGACGCACAGTGTGCTGAGGCAGTGGAGAGGAGAGAGAGCAGATGCATTGGCAGGAGCAGAGCTGAGGGTGTTTTTTTTTTTCCTTCTTCCTTTTCCTCCCTCCTGTCTCTTTTGTCGGCACAGATTAAAAAATAAGTTAAAAAAAAAAAAATCAGATGAACGTGGAGCATCACCATCATCACCTCCCAGCGAGCCGCTCGTCCTCATCCTCATCGCCGGAGCTGCATCCAGTGTTGGAGCTGCTGCTGGTGCGGCAGGCTAACGGCGGGCTAGCGGGGAGCTGCAAGGCTCTGTGGCAGCGAGAAGAGGAGGAAAAAAAAAAAGAAAAAGGAGGAGGGGCTGTGGTGAGCTGGTGGGCTTCCTCTGCCTCACAGACACATTTTATTGACTTGCTAATTGGATGAGGCACTCGGAGGAGAGGATGCAGTGACCGAGAGGAGCTGCTCTCCAGAGGGAAGGATACAGGCAACAAGAAGAAAAAAAAAGAGCATTGCTTAAGGGTTGAATCCAGCCACTTTATCTCTTTTTTTTTTTCCTCAAACATCTTCTGGAGGCATAACAACAGATGTTTTTTCAGCATCTCTCAGTGACCCTCACACCGTGCATACATAATTTTATGCATGACATTGTCGAACGGAGGCTCCAGCTGCCAGACGCTTCGTGACAAGTGAATGATTTCCATTTTCTCTTCTGTTTTTTTTTCTTCTTCTTCTTGGACTCATCAGCTGGGGATGTTTTTTTTTTTTTTTTTTTGATGTGCCATTTGATATGAATGGTAATCTGATGGCATGATGAATGTACATTGAGCTGTGAAGGGATATTCTTCTGGGGAAAAAACAGGTATGATATGAGCAAAAAATCTAAGACACATACTGTAGTAAGGTGGCATTATTCAGCCGGTGTTAATTTTAGTGCCTAGTCAAGAAATGGATCAAGCGAATGTATTGACTGTTGCATAATTCCAGACTGAAATCTGAGAGCTAAAACATCTACACTGTAGAGAGAAATGTCTCCTTATGTTTATCCGTGTGCCTACCTGTCAGATTTGTGCAGAATAAATGAGTTTAGGAAGGAAAGCGAAGCAGAGAGAGGGGAGGATTATGAATGAATCAGTGGTAGAGACCAGTAGTAGCGGTGTGCGTTGAAGAGGATTAATGGAGGCATTAAAAAAAAAAAACAGTCTAGACTTGTTTCACCACTGGGTCAGCCTTTAAAATGTATTCTTGAAATTTTCAATTTACAACATCCTTATATTTTCATTACAGACTTTGTGTTTCTGTTAAGGTTTAAAAACAACAAGATTACTGTCAAGTCCCGATAAGACAAACATCATCCACTCAAGGTTTGATCAGGTGTCAGTCTTTGATCTTGATCCCTGATTTATTTTTTTTTACATTTCATTTCCTCCTCAGCTTCAGTCTCGTCCTGGTTGCCATGACTGAGGTGTGCAGGTCTGGTGAGGTCAGAGAGCAGGTGTTACTGTGCTGAGGTCTGCTGTCCCAATGAGCAAAGCAGGCAACCCACAGAGACGCACCACCTACCTCATTTCCCTCACTCTGGTGAAGGTTGAGGCTGTGCCAGAGGATGTAGCAGGGAACCAGGCGGAGGCTCTTCCAGAGGGGGAAGGGAGCCCTAAGAAGGAGGAGAAGGAGGAGCCGAGCAATGCCCCTGAAAAAGAGGAGTGCGTGGAAGTGGTGGAAAAGGAAAACACGCAGGTGGAAGAGGAGTTGGAGCTGGTGCACATCAAGTATGGCAGCCCCAGCGAGACCAGAGGGAAGCCTGACAGGAGGGAGACACATGGCCACCAGAAAGACGTCGTGTCAGTCGGTAAGAGCAAAGACGCTTGTTTTGTGCAGCCACCTGTTAGGCAGATGGTGAAAGTCTATGGAGGAACTACCTCTGAGGGGACTGTGCGCAGAGAGGGACCTCGCTCAGAAGCCCTGCGTCCTAAAACGGAGATCTACCGCGAGCCCCCCATGCTGTTCCTAAAGGGGGAGAACGGAGCAGACTTGAGCAGTCGCTCTCGTTGCAGCCTCCCCTTCTCTGTCCCGCCACCCATCAGCCAGCGTCCTGAAGTCGTGATGAGGCCCCATGCTGGAGGGAACTCTGCGTGCTGGAGGGAGCTCAGAGAGGCCAACGCAAGCTTGTACCACTCTGCTAAGACTTTGGACCGAAGAGATAACCGTTTAGGGGACCAGTCCCCTTTAATGGCAGCTACAACTCTGGGGCCTTACAGGGCGTCCTGGGCCGACAGCGACGGCAGGGGGACGCTCATCCGGCCCGGAGCTCCCATCAGCGGAGGGTTTTCAGGCGTAATGACCCGGGACAGCCCTCAGGGGGAGAGATTTAAGACAGTTTCTGTTTCCTTACCCGCACCTCCTGCCACAGATGCATCCAGGCCTCAAAGAAAAGGTACAAGTCGTACCCTGGACAACAGCGACCTACATTCCCTCTCTGAGGACCTGAAGAAGGGGAAGGAGGGCCAGGGGGGAACAATCCAGCGAGCTCCTCCCCGCGATCGCAAGATGCTCAAGTTCATCAGTGGGATTTTTACCAAAAGTACACCTGTGCCACCCAGCGTCAACACTGCACCTCCTCTCTATCCAGCTCTGGAGAGAGGCTCGAGTGAGGAGGAAGGTAAGGACACCTCACGCATCTGCACACTAAACTTTGTGGCCGACTGAAGGACTTCAACATTCACTTCATAAGTTATGATTTGCTTTTTGAATTCATAATAGCATTTCTTATCACAGAGACTCTCCTTTCAAATTAATGAGTGTTTTAGAGGCCCAGTGTGCTGCACACACTTAACAAAATAAAGAGGACTAACCGTATCTGATGGAAAACTATTTTCCATGACAAAAGTGGTGGAAAATATTGTCGTATCTGTTGTTCTGCTTCACCCATCAGTGGTCCCTTGAGTTGAAGTTAAGCAATTATAAAGATCGTTTTGTTTTACGTGATTAAATGGATCACATATTTATTACCGTTTACATTGCCCTCTCTGGAGTTGTGTGGACCTGAACCAAAAAAAAATCTGCTCCCACTTAATCCTAGTAATGCTCTAATGCTCTTAGAATTCATTAATTTTGGGCACTTTCTGTAAATTACATGCAGTTGAAACATCCAGTTGTGAGATGGGCATGAAAAATATCTTCTTTTTTTAAAAAAATGCGAAGTGGATTTGAATATAGCTGCAGCACTAGTATAAATTAAACATCTTCTGTATTCTGCATAGTTTCCTTTGATGAAATATTTGAGCTATGTGTGCAATCGCTTTGCTTTAAAGTAAACGCACAAGTTAACATGAACATATGGGAACTGAAGGCTTCACAGCTGACAGCATCAGTGTTTGTGACGTGATAGATGATAACGTGGAGGGCTGCTAACTTTTCCTATCTTTGAGGGATTTGGGAAGAAATTCAGACTTATTCATTCCTGCCCTGAGAATTCACTTACAAATGCAATTAAAATCAGATCGAGAAAGAAAAAAACCTATGATGCTCTTCTATTTGCAGCTGCAGAACAGAAAAGCAGATCAAAGTTGTCTGGTTAGGGTTTGGAATACTTGTTTTTTAGGTGTTCTATTAATATCCAGGTACAAATGTACAGGTCATCACTCAGATTCAGTAATGATATGAAGCCTAAATACTTGACTGCAAACCTGTTGACTATACATAAACAAATTAATAAAGATTAACCATCACTAAAGTAATTTTTTTAAGCCCAGATACTAATCAGTCCCCGTTACACGCATCTCAAATGTGTTGATTCGCTGTTTTTCTTTGTTCTATTTGATAGGAAGCCGAGTATTTGGGGGTGAGAAGCAATTTGAAGTTGTCACCTTTTGGCTTTTCACTATTTTCTGGCATTTTATCGAGCAAACAATCAATTAGTCAAGACTGCAATAGTCAGATTTGCTCTGAGAATCTATCTAAATGTCAAGTTAATATCTTTCTTGCAAACAGAAGCTGGATCGGTTGTTAAAGATCTACAGGATATATGGTTGGAAAAAAATAAAAGAATATTAAATGAAAAACTGTTGCCAAGGTAATAATAAAGCGCTCTTACAAACAATAGTAGCCAGCGATGAATAGATTTTGAACATAATTAACTCTTAAAACAACATTTTCAAATGTAGAACAAACTGTTCTTCATCAGTAAGTGATGCTAAGCTTCACTGTGGACATGATGGTGAAGAGCAAAGCTGCTGTGTGCTGATGCTGTGATCTTCCTATGTGCTTTGGCTGATGTACTAATATTTGAATTCCCCAAACAATGAAGCAAACAAATTCTGTCATGTCAAAAATCACTTCATCCCAAATTCCGATTTGTCGGTTTGAAATAAAAGAAATGATGCAACTTTTATCAATTTTTTAATGACTATTAATATGATATAAAGAAAATCATCCTTGACAGAGAGTGTAGGATTGGAGTTGGCTCTGAATAATTTGTCAGGAGTAAGTGGGACATGAATAATTAAGGCTGGGGATACACAGAGCTGTGTTCATCGGCCGAGCGAGGGGAGCGGGAACCTGCTACTTCCTGCTCTGTGCATGGAGTTAATCAGCCTTCAGATGCAGCCTATTCATTTGTCACTGTTTTGTTGTGTTTAAGTGTTTGTGAGACAACGCTGTGTCAAGGCGAGCCTGCAATTACAGCTCACAGTGTCAGCGTTGCGTTGACGGACGAGCATCAGTGATCGAATGTCGCTGAGAACATGTTGGTCAGCGCGAGAGGTGAACGGTCGCACGTCGTCATGTGCATACAGGTGGACATCGCGTCTCTGTGGCTCTCGGAGATGTCGCTGTATCCATGAGAGACCATTTATTGTATAGAGACCCGGGCTGGAGGCTTCTGGAAAATGGAGTTGCCATGGCAACAGCAAGCCGCGAGAGATGCTATTTGGTCTGTGGTGTGACGCTCTTGATGGAGGGGAGTGTGGGCGTGGGGATTGCCCAAAGATGGGGATGAGGGACGAGTCGCAGGGGTTTAAAGTTAGAATCTTTGTCCCCCAGAGAGTCGAGTCGACGCCACGGCTCCACCCAGAGCTGCGTGACCCGAGCGCTTCGCACTGTGTGTGTGTGTGTGTGTGTGTGTCAGTATCTGTGTCATTGTCTCTGGCGATGTGGTTTCTGCATCATACATCTGTAAGCACTTCCACAGTGTTGCCCAGAGTGTGTGAGAGTATGTTTGTGTTCGCACTGGCAGGCGTCTGTCCTGTTTGTTCAGCTTCATATCTGCAGATGCTACTGTTGTGTGTGTGTGTGTTTTATTAAATGCCCATTCACTGAAGCATCTTTGCTGTAGCTCTGCTGAAGGTGGAGCTTAAACACTCAAACCTTGAAACCATTTTACTGCCATTCCACCACGACAACATTAATTTAGAACATAAACCTCTAAAATCTAAAACAAAATCTGAATAATGTTTCTGATTGTCATTTTCTTGACCCCAGCGGATTCATCATTCTTACTCAACCATGTTTCCAGACATTTATACCTAAAACACTGAAACTATCCAGGTCTTTCTATCCCTGTATATTTGCCAACTCCTTCTTTTCCTTTAAAGTGAAACATTCCTGCTGAATGTGAGAGTAAGCGACTTGTGATTTATATTTTTTTTCACAGTTTTGGAAAAGAAATATACCCAGAATTGAATTAAAGATGTGTGCTATAGAGTAGCAAAAATAAGAATACTAATAAATTTTAACAGCTGCCATGGCGCTGTAACTCCCACACTATGAATCAAACTAACTGTGCTGTCTGTGCTGCTGTTAAAGAGTTTTTGTCATGTAATTTATCCTCTCTGCAAAATCTTATTTTAGTCTATTAGCATCAAACCAGATAAAGCAACTACTGTGCGTGCTGCACTGAGCGCTAAAGCTACGCAGTGTAACAGGATTAGGCATTATGATCACAGTTAACAGATGAAGTAGATACGTTTGGCTGTAATCTCGCCACCATTTATCAACATAACATTTTTATTATTAGCACTCCGTCATCACATTGTCACTGCCAGGCGGGTGCACTTATCACAGGAAAACAAAGCCAGAGAACACAGCTCTTTTTGAGCTTGTAATCACTCAGTAAATTGTAATTAATGCAGCAAATGTAAACCTTAAATATTAATGAATGAAGGTGCATTGTGTGCCGAATGTTTTCTCACAAGGAGTTTCTTAACAATAGAAACATTTCTCTGTTTAAACATAAACATTTTTCCATATATAGAGTTTTATAAGTGCTTGATCTAGTCAGATTGTAACTATTAAAGATTATAAAGAACCGACAGAGAGGAATAAGTATCTAATTCCTCTGTGGAAAGGCTGACATTTACTTAAAAATAATGTTCTGTAACAAGATGAGTCACTAAACATAAGTTAGCATTCATCATTTCTCATAGAACCGTTTCCTTTCCTTTTGATAAAAAACTGAAGTTGAACATAAAATTAACCAAATTCCTGCTGTTGATCATCCACAGCTCGTCTTATCAAGTCATTTGAGCACTTATAAAACTTAATTTTCTTATCTGTGCAGTAATTCTGCATGTTCCTGGTGTAGTTTTCCCTTTCCGAGGATTGTTCTAGAAACTGTCACACATGATAATGCAGACTGCTGCTCTACTAAAGTGTAAGACAACATTGCATAATTCTACCAAAAGAAACTTTTTGACTTGTGTATATGGACGTGATCTCAACCCACTTTCTGACTGCAAAGCCTCCGTATTAACATTTTATTGTAGGTTGTTTGACTTTCTGATGCAAATCATCTTCTTTTAAAAGTCAGAGCACCAAGTGGCACATTCTGTCTTGTTTCAGTTGACACAGACTGCTACAAAATTCATGAAATGAGGGAAACTGCACCAGGAACAAAATGAATTATCTCACCACAGCTGGCTGAATTCTTGTTTTTTTTTCTTTCTTTCTTTCTGCTGTCAGTCTTCAGTTTATTCAGGGCGCTTATTCCTAATAGAAGGGCCTTGTTAAGATGGGTTTTCAGCAGAGTAACCACAATAAGAGGCAAAGAAGTGTTGGGCTTAACAACGTTAGGGTGAACTAAAGATGTCTGGCGTGCTCTCTAACTCATGTAGACTTGCACATTTTAATGCTTGATTGAATTTTCTGGATGCTTACAGTCCGTAGAGCTGCAGCCTCTCCGGACCCCGAGGCAGGACCTGAACGCTGTGCTGAGTCCACACGCAGTCAGCAATCCCTCTTTTAAACTTTTTGGGACTTTTTTCTTTAAACTTGGGGATAGTTGAACACGAAGTTTGGTATCAGTGCCTTGTCTGTGAAGAGTCTCAGTCATCCAGGTCATGGTTATTCTCGTAGTTTAATCGTAGCAGCTGGAATTGCTTGAGTTCCTTGAAGACGTTTCACCTCTCATCCAAGAGGCTTCATCAGTTCTGACTGACTAGTCGGGAGATCCACATACTTATATTCTTTAGGAGCCATTAACACTTGAGCTTCAGTTTCAACGGGGGGTATCAGTACCTTTAAAGAATGCTCCAGATCTTGTTTCGCGCTACTTAGCTTTGACGTTTCCTACTTTAACCATTTTTCTGATTCTCAGTTAAAACCTAAATGAGTCGCGTCAGTGACGAGTTTGGACAAAAGACTTGTAGACAGTTGTGGACTTGGTAAAGGGGATTTTTCAGCTTTAATCTCTTTGAACCCCAAACATCTTTTGCATCTATCACATTTTCACACACTGTGGGCTCATTTGTCACTGCAGTACAAAGTAAAGCACAACCATGGCTAGAAGAGGAGACAACCTAAAGAATGTCTTCTGTGCAGTATAATGAAGTTATCATGCCATAAATCATAAAACACTGTTAAAAATTAAATTAAAAGACTTAAAGAAAAGATTTGCACTTAAGAATCAAGACCTGTTTAGATATCTTCAACTGAGGGGATATTAAAACAAAGAGGTAAAGAAGGATACACCAGAAGAAATGAACCCAGTGATGGAAGTGATGGTTACAGCATATATCAGGGGCCATATCAAGACTCTACCACAGTATAATCGGATGTCAGAATAAAGCAACACTATACATAAAACACAAGTGGGAAAGAGAGTTGAATGTCATGATCTCCGAAGAAGAATGTTATCATATGTGTGAAACTCAGCAGACGTCCACAAATAGAATAGAAAAGAATAGAATAGAATAGAATAGAACAGAATAGAACTTTATTGATCCCTTTGGTGCAAACCTCAGGGAAATTGTTGAAAATTCGCTTAGCTGGAGAGAATGTAATTGGAACAATCATTTTTTTATTACGCCAAATTTAAAAAGCAAACAATTATTAAAACAGCAAACATGCTGGAGGCAATGTGGTCAAATAAATTCAGACCATACACATATCTTCTTCAAAACAGAACCATTTTGGGATAAAGTGAACTCAGGCAAGAAGGCCATAACAAGAAACTGGCCTGCTTCAGACCCACCTAGACATAAACAATGGTTAGATATAGAATAGGGAAATATATGTGATGGAAAAAATTACTTATTGGTTAAGAATAAAAAGATAATTTTAATAGAAAATG